AGAGAGAGAGAGAGAGAGAGAGAGAGAGAGAGAGAGAGAGAGAGAGAGAGAGAGAGAGAGAGAGAGCAAGAGAGAGAGAGAGAGAGAGCGATTATGGATCGATAGGTACGTTTCTTGCTTCTCTCGAACTAGCCGTCGTCGCGTGCTCCAAGATATTAAGATTTGTTATAAATCGCTCTCACGAGCGCGAATACGCGCGAGGGAGGGAGGGAGGAAAGGAGAGAGATTAGAAAGCTTCCAAAACTAGAATTGGACGCCCTTGGTACAGTCTTTCCGCTACGTTTGGAAAGATTAACGGTCGATCCTGATAGATTGAGGAAGAGAGCATGGGAATTGCTGAGTCGCAAAGTTTCAGCCCTACTTTAGACCCGAACTTTCCAACGTTTGTGTATTCTGAGGGATCAGCGTACACGTAATAGGGGAGCTCGGGTCGACCCGAGAGCCATGTTGAGCCACGCGTTTTGTTTATGTATTATTGTTTATGTATTGTGAATGCAACAATTTTGCGATCCTCTTGCCGAACGAGGGAATCGCAAAATGTTCTTTCCAGAGCACAAGCAAAATACTTACATCCTGAAAGAAACATATTTTGCGATTCACTTTCCACCCTGTCACTTTCACAATAAGTAAATATACGAATGAAACTCGTGGCCAACATAACCCTTGGGTCGACTTGACCTGATCTCCCCTACACATGGGAACTGAAATCTTACTTGGTGCCTCTGAATAACGGAGAACGCACAAAATGCCACGTGTAGTGAGTTCTAAAGGATCCCTTGCGACGAACCTGGCGGGTTAAATAGAATCAAAAGGGGTTGATATAGGCCTTAGAGTATCAGAATAGGCGACAAATGGAATATTGAGGTCGGAGGTAGGATCGAAAATTTCAACTTAGTTTAAAGTTTGTAATTAGGTTTCCAAGGGCTCGTTACTCCGGCTCCGGAGAAAAAGGCGAGTTGGAGTCGACAAAATTGAATAAAAGTGGACATTTCCACAGTGCGACGTAATGCGTACGCATCTGTCGCGTTGTATATGTGCGTGCGCGCGCGCGTGTGTGCCGTGCACGCTCTACTTAAGAATATTGCCCTTTTTTGGTACATTAGCGTTAAAAAGATTAAAATTGTAATCAGTTTCGTGGTCGTTGACACTCACAACGGCCGCTGCATCGCGTGGCTGCGACGCGCAGTGATGTACGAAAATTCGATTAATCATAATGTAATTAACGCAAACGCCGGGGCTCTCCTGCCGCCGCGCACAGTCGAAAGCGCAGGTATATTTTCCGCTATCCGCGTTTCGCGGATGTTTTATTCAATTTCACGCGCCAACTGGTAACCTCCGTTCGATGATCGATAGACGGAATGCAACGCATGCCTCGCAACGAGAAACTAGAAGATAAATATTGCGTATGCAAGCGAAAGACTCGATCGAGGGGCCGAAGCGCGACGTACGGCGGGAGAGCCGCTGTTTTCGCCGTAGTTAATTAGCCGCGGCTAATTGACCGAGACACGCGCATCCGCGCTCCGCTCCCGTCTCTCAATTCTATCTGTTTAATCTATCTAATTACCCCCATGACGAGACATAATGAAATTATGAATGGATTAAGTAGCTGGTGCAACGTGCGAGCGTCTCGCGTTGCGCCGCTGCCTTAATTAAGTTGCGTGACGCGCGGTCGCTATAAGTTAACTACCCGTGCTCGCTCGCCCGAGGAAAAAGGGGAACTCGCGATTATCAATGGCGAGGTTTCCGCGAAGCAGAAATAGGACTCGCGACGCGACGGAGTCGCGCTCACTCTTTAACGACGGCATTGTTTTTGTGCCGTCGCTGTTCAATTCGATATTATCGCGGCGGGCTTAATATTTAAATCACACGCGCGCTCCAACCTACATCGCTTTATACCACCGGCATCCGGCTAATTTTACGATCAAGAGCGCTGATAAAAATTTCACGGACAGGCGCGATGACTGAGACGAGATAGAAATAGACAGGTAGATAGATAGATGGCGAGCGAGCGAGAGAGAGAGAGAGAGGGAGAACTGTGAGCGCATCACGTATTACGGTATAACTGAGGAGAGGTCGAAGAGCGAACAATTGTGCGGCTTCGACGCGATCCGCGGAGGAAGTTGATGCCCTTCGACAAGTGTATTATCGTTCACGATAAGTCGCGGAAATCGGGATTGCTTGGAAACGTACGCTCAAGAGACTGTACGTGAATGCCCATTGTCCGCGATATCTATCTCACGGACGATCTCACGTCAATGAGGATCGTGCCCAATTCTTAAACCCTGTCCGATCACGAAAAGGGCTGGGAGATATGTCCTCACCCTCTCTCTCTCCCTCACACACATACATTCTAGCACTGATAGGCAAACATAGAGCTTTAGAATCGCTCGATAATGTTTCCCCAGCCCGCGGATATGTCCCGAATGGGTTGTACACACTCGGCGAAGGTTGCGAGGGGACGCGAGGTAATTTATTTAGCGGACGATCGCATTTTACACACATTGAGATGACATCTACTTTGAGATAACGCGAAGAGGCGGCGTAAGGGACGAAGACTGATGACTAGAACCCAGCGAATCAAGTCTCTGTACTATCCGATCTGGCCCGATTCATTATCGGAGATAAACCGGCGCCGAATTGTACCCACGTTGGTAAAACGAGACTGGTCGGGCCTTTCTTGTCATGACGAGAAGCTGATCCAGCGGCCCAGGATCGGTCTGACTTTACAAAGTGAATACATCGGATTAGGGTAATCTGTCCAGTAATTAAACACAGTAATTGGAAAGTTTGGAATGTTTATTATACTATTAAGGTAATATACGTGTGGCGTAATTTATAGCTCAAGTGAATAACTCGCAGGTTGTGTGATCGAAAAAGTCCATCGCAGAAGGTTAACCTGGCTTCGACTATACAAATATTGTAGTTGTTCGGTGCTTAAACGTTGATTTACTGGACAGGTCATGCTATACGAGATATTTCAAAATACTTATGGAAGTAATTTTTTTTTCATATAAATGCTAATATTTTTTATGCAAATTCTTCAAGTGTTTTTTGAAGCTTCTTGCATTTGATAATGCAAGAAGCTTATTGCATTTGATAATTTTTTTGAAGCTTCTTGCATTTGATAATGAATCGGGCTGAATAGGATACTGTGTCGGGCTCTGATTTGCTTGCACACTCAAGAAAGTGATCATGTAGTAGTGATGAAATTAGCTAGACATGAGAAATCTGCTGATATGGACAAATGATTAACAAGCACTGCGATATCGCGAATGTTTTGTATGTAATCAATATGGACAGAATTTTTCAATCGGAGCCGCTTGTGAATTTCAGCGAGAAAGTCTCTCTGCGGCGCCCGTCCAGATTAAGGCCAGATTAATAATTGGTAACGGGTCCTAAATTTGCCAGCGGATATTGCTAGAATGCCGCCGCTGTGAATTCTACATACCGCCGCGGACACATGGAACAGCGATAAATTTTAACTGCGACATTTAGAATTCCACCTGGACGCTGGCGAAACATCTTTTCGAGCACGGAACCCTGACTGATACCGCCACTTTACCGTTCCCGCCAGGGCGCTCGCCGTGAATCGCCTGTCGAAAAATTACCGGGGAATTTCTCCGAGGTGTCCACAGCCAAGCGGAAACCTCCGCTGGCTGGGGAAATAGAGATTTTTCT